AAATAAATAAAAAAGGAAAGCCTGGTCTTATTTCCACCACAACTGAAGCTGACATTTTGGAGCACTTTGGTGTTGAGTTGTATAAGTTCTTTATTTTTTTTTGATTCTATTCCTTAATCACACAGGTCATTTGCAAATGTCTTCCCATTCAGTAGGCTGCCTTTAGATTTACTGATGCTCTCCTTAACTGTGCAGAAGCTTTTTATTTTGATGTAATCCCAACAGTTTATTTTTGCTATTGTTTCCCTTGCCTCAGGAGACATATCTAGAAAAAAGTTGCTACAGCTGATGCAGAGAAATTATTGCCCGTGCTCTCTTGGAGGATTTTTATGGTTTCGGGTCTCATGTTTAGGTCCTTAATCCATTTTGAGTTTATTTTTGTGTATGATGTAAGAAAGTAGTCCAGTTTCAGGGTGCCTGGGTGGCTCAGTCAGCTAAGCATCTGCCTTCAGCTCAGGTCATGATCCCAGAGTTCTGGGATCGAGTCCCGCATCAGGCTCCTTGCTCAGTGGGGACCCTACTTCTCCCTCTGCCTGCTGCTCCCCCTGCTTATGCTCTCTTTCTCTGTCAAATAAATAAATAAAATTAAAAAAAAGTTTTTTAAAAAAGAAAGTAGTCCAATTTCATTCTTTTGCATGTTGCTGTCCAGTTTTCTCAACATAATTTGTTGAAGATACAGTCTTTTTCCCATTGCATATTCTTGCCTCCTTTGTCAAAGATTAACTGATCATATAATTATGGGTTTATTTCTGGGTTTTCTATTCTGTTACATTGATTGATGTGTGTCAATTTTTGTGCCAGTACCATACTGTTTTGATTACTACAGCTTTATATTATAACTTGAAGTCTGGAACTATGATGCCTCCAGTTTTGTTTTGTTTTTTTCAAGATTGCTCTGGCTATTCAGGATCTTTTGTGGTTCCAAATAAAATTTAGGATTGTTTATTCCAGTTCTCTTAAAAATGCGGTTGGTATTTTGATAGGGATTGCATTTATTGTATAGATTGCTTTGGGTAGTAAAGACATTTTAACAATATTTGTTCTTCCAATCCATGAGCAGAGAATGTCTTTCCATTTCTTTGTGTTGTCCTCAATTTCTTCCATCAACGTTTTATAGTTTTCAGAGTACAGGTCTTTCACCTCTTTGGTTAAGTTTATTTCTAGGTTCTTACTATTTTTGGTGCAACTATAAATGGGATCGTTTCCTTGATTTCTCTTTCTGCTGCTTCATTATTAGTGTACAGACATGCAATAGATTTCTGTACATTTTGTGTCTTGTGATATTACTGAATTCATTTATCAGTTCTAGTAGTTTTTTGGTGGAGTCTTTATAGTTTTATATATAGCATATCATGTCATCTGCAAATAGTGAAAGTTTTACTTCTTCCTTTCCAATTTGGATGCCTTTTTGTCTGTTTGCTGTGGCTAGGACTTTCTGTACTATGTTGAATAAAAAAGTGAGAATGGATATCCCTGTCTTGTTCCCGACCTTAGGGAAAAGCTCTCAGTTTTCCCCATTAATGATGATGTTAGCTGTGGGTTTCTCATATAAGAACTTTATTATGTTGGGGTATGTTCTCTCTAAACTTACTTTGTTGAGGGTTTTATCATGAATGAATCTTGTAGTTGTCAAATGCTTTTCTGCATCTATTAAAATGATCACATGGTTCTTATCTGTTCTCTTAGTGATGTGATGTAATGTAACATGTTGACTGATTTATGAATACTAAACCATCCCTGCATTCTGGAAATAAATCCCAATGGATCCTGGTGAATGATTTAAAAAAAATATATTGTTGGATTTACTTTGCTAGTATTTTTTTTTTTTTTTAGGATTTTGCATCTATGTGCATAAGGGATATTGGCATGTAGTTCTCTTTTGGTGGTCTTTTTTCTGGTCTTGGTATCATGGCAATGGTGACCTAATAGAATCATTTGGAAGTTTTCCTTACTTTTCTGTTTTCTGGAATAGTTTGAGAAGAATAGGTATTAATGCTTCTTTAAATGTTTGGGAGAGGGGTTCCTGGGTGGCTCAGTGGTTAAGTGTCCAACTCCTGATTTCGGCTTGGGTTGTGATCTCAGGGTTGTGGGATCGGGCCCTGTGTTGGACTTCACACTGAGCATCAAGCCTGCTTGGTATTCTTTCCTTCCCTCTCCCTCTGTCCCTCCACCGCTCTGCCCCCAGCTTGCATACTCTCTCTCTCTCAAATAAATAAATAAATCTTAAAAAAAAAAAAAAAAAGAAATGTTTGGTAGAATTCTACTGTGAATTGATCTGCTCCTGGACTTTTGTTTGAGTTTTTGAATACTGATTCAAATACATTGCTGGTAACTGGCCTGTTCAAATTTTCTATAATCTCTTGTAATCTTATGTATTTCTGGAGTGTTGGTTGTTATATCTCCTTTTTCATTTCTGATTTTTTAAATTTAAAACCTCTCTCTTTTTATGAGTCTTTGTTTTCAAGGTATTATCTCCATTTATTATTTTTTTTCCGAAGAGTTTTTCTTCAGTCTTGAATGTCTTAGCTCCTCACATGGGCTTTGGTGGTGGTCACACACACAGGTCTAAATTGGGATGGGGGTGTTCAGTTCTTCTGTGCTTCAGGAGAGTGATTCCTGACTACCTTGCTGTGTATGGTACAACTCACACAGTAATGTAGTTTCACATACAGCTTGGGGAGAACACAGGCATTGAAGATACTCACTATGGAAATGTCCCTGACAATGATAGCCCTCTACTATGTTTTGAGTAACAAATTTCTTAATGGCTTTGTTCTTAGGCACACAACAGGCATAGTTGGTGCAGTGAAGAGTCTGCACGTGGCTGTGGCCCTTTTTGGCACAATTATTCCTTCTTTTCTTGGTCATCTTGGAAGTGAGGACCCAAGAGAGGATGGATCACTGTGTTTTCATTTGCATTTCTCTCTTAGCAATTTTTTATTTCTTCTTTGACTTCTTGGTTGATCCATTTATTATTTAGGAACATGTTATTTAACCTCCATGTATTTGTGTTCTTTCCAGATTATTTGTTGTGGTTGATTTCTAGTTTCATAGTGTTGTGATCAGAAAAGATGCATGGTAGGATCTAGATCTTTTTGAAGTTGTTGAGACTTGTTTTGTGGTCTAATATGGGATCTATTCTGGAGAATGTTCCAAAGTGAACTTCAAAAGAATGTGTATTAAGCTGTTTTAGGATGGAATGTTTTGAGTATATCTGTTAAATCCATCTGGTCCAGTGTGTCATTCAAAGCCACTGTTTCCTTGTTGATTTCTGTTTGGATGATCTGTTTATTGACATAAGTGAGGTGTTAAAGACCACTACTATTATTGTACTACTATTGAGTAGTTCCTTTATTTTTGTTAATAAACATTTTATGTATTTGGGTGTTCCCATATCGTGTGCATAATATTAATAATTGCATGTTTTTCTTAATGTCAACTATATTTTAAGCCCTGGGTAAATCTAGCTAATATAGAGACTTAAAATTTTCTTTTTGTAGTGAAACACTAGGAAAGCTTTCAGAAGAAAAGTGTAGAATAAATATTACTAACTTAGGTATACTGAGAACCATATACAGAAGACAAGGGCTTGAATGTCCACTGAGAACAGTCCATGCATAAGTGGCATATGCCAAAAGGAGTTACATGTATTTTTGGTAAATACATGTTGCCAGATATTGGTATATATCTAAAGTTGTTTCTTAAGCACTTGGAAGACACTGGCTAAGTTTTTCTTTCCCTAAGGTGACATCCTCGAGAAAAGTTATACTCTGGGTTGTAGTACTATCTAACAAATACCAAATGTTATCCAAATAAAAATATTTGCCTCTATTTAATTGTAGAACAATATTTCCTAAAAAATAAAGAAAACTATATGAACTAAATAAAAGATGATAGAAGATACATATTTTAAGAAAATTAAATGTAAACTTTCAGATAAAATATAGCTAACAAAAAGTGGCTATAAATGCCTCGGTTCATTCTACATTCTCTAAATCCTTAAGTCTTAAATTTTATATAGTTTTATTGAAGAAGAAGAAATTTATAATTATTGCCAGCATTTTATTTTGACCATGCAAATACTGTCCAAATGTCCTTAGACCCATAAAAATATATTTTATAGAATTTTAGTTCAAAGGTCAAAAGAGAAAAGGCCTCCAACTATTTTTTCAGGACATTCACAAAGGTCAAAATTATTTCTACAAATAGTCTTTATGTTAACAATCCTAGAGAATACAATACAATAAAATCATAATAAAAAATGTAACTATTAACAGACATTTATTTCAAATATGTATATTGCCTTTTATTTGAGGCTCAGAAAGTGGTAATTTTGAACTACTGCAAACATGAGAATTTGCAAAATTCACCTAGAAACACAATGTAACAAATTACTAATATTCAAATAGGCTGGTTTATCCCAATGGCTAGAAAACAAATTTTAAAAACCCAGTAGCTATTTTATGATTTATTTTTGAGGAGATATTTCAAATAATCACAAAGTGAGTATATTCAATATAGAAAATATTAAAATTATAAATGAATATAATAAAGAAAATAAAACTGGTTAATACTAATTTTGAGTTATATATAAAACTTGCATATTAACCAACAACTTGGAAAGCAAAATCTGCCATTGATGCAGACAATAAAAGCTCACAAGGTTCAAGTTAATCATTGAAAAGTTGGGAAATTTAATTTTCAACCCCCAAATCGTCAGCTTTAAGTATATTTAAAGTATATATAAAATAGATATATTACATAAATCTTCAAAAGTGTACGTATTTATGTTTAAAAATATATCATAAAGGAATTTAACATCAAATATACTGTTGGGTTTTAGATAAATAATTCATATTTAAAAATGTAAAATAAAATTCTCCACACTATTCTCTTAGTTCTAAATTATGACTTATATACTTTATTCCAAACATCAGCATATACTAAATACATGCAAGGCTTTTTTTTCCCCCCTCTAATGATGAAAAAATCATTCTTACCCCACGTCAGTTTTATTCTGAATAACATTGATACCTTCTGGACTCAGCTCTGGGATCCATTTCTCTATTTCTTCCATCCAGGGATATCTCAGAGATGAAGGGACCACTATTAAAAGAGGCCATTCCTCCTTATAGAAGTAAGCAATTGCAATTGCCTGGATTGTCTTTCCTAGACCCATCTAAAATAAAAATAAATTAAAAATACATAAATATGTAAGTAAATGCTGAAATATTTTGAATGAAAATATTAATCAAACATTTACTTAAGAGTATTATCATCAAAATAATTTTCTAACGTAAAATCAATTGGATTACATAGTTAATAAAAAGCACAAGATTATGATGACCTTTAAAATTCATTAAGCAAATTATGTTATCTTCTAACCATTTGTGACTGGACTTAGAGACAAAATAACCTGTTATTTAAAATATTAGTTATATTGAATTCATATAACTTAATTTTATAAAGATGTATATGACCATTTATAAGTTCATCTCTTAGAGAGCACAAGGGTAAATGACTTACCTATACAACACAATATCATGTTATTTTAAAGCTAGAATAAGCCCTAAATCATGCACATCTTACAAAAGAAATAAGCATACAGTGGTTATATTCTCTATTCAACTTAACATTAATCGAATGCAAAACTAGTGTGAGAGCCCAGGTCTCCGGTGTCTTCCCACTTAATTGTTTTCACACTTATATCATAATGCCCCATTTCTAAGCAGTACCCATTTAAAAAGTAGTTACTAAATCAATGTTTTTATTTTTATTTTTTAAAGATTTTTTATTTATTTATTTGAGAGAGAGAGAATGAGAGAGAGAGCACATGAGAGGGGGGAGGGTCAGAGGGAGAAGCAGACTCCCTGCCGAGCAGGGAGCCCGATGCGGGACTCGATCCAGGGACTCCAGGATCATGACCTGAGCCGAAGGCAGTCGCTTAACCAACTGAGCCACCCAGGCACCCTAAATCAATGTTTTTCGTGGTTTTGTTCCTAACAGCCAGAATATGAAGACAACCCAAATGTACTTCAACTGGTACATGGATAAAAACTGGGGTACATCCATGTAATAGAATACTATTTATCAATAAAAAGGGAGCAAACTATTGCTATACACAACACGTTGCATTTTGCTACATGAAAGAAGTCAAACTCAAAAGCAACATACCATATGATTCCATGTTTATGTCATACAGAAAACTCATCAGAGTCGAGGAGTGGGAGGAGGAGAGCAGCATGAGGGAACTTTTGAGATGATGGGGCTGTTTTGTATTTTGATTGTGGTGATAGTTAAATGTCTGTACACATTCGTCGACCTATAGAATTGCTCATTTAAAAAGGATGAATTTACCTAAAAGAGTGAATTACACCTCAATAACACTGACTTCTTTAAAAAAGTAGTTATTAGGGGCGCCTGGGTGGCTCAGTCGTTAAGCGTCTGTCTTCAGCTCAGGTCATGATCCCAGGGTCCTGGGATCGAGCCCCACATTGGGCTCCCTGCTCCACAGGAAGCCTGCTTCTTCTCCCACTCCCCCTGCTTGTGTTCCCTCTCTCGCTATGTCTCTCTCTGTCAAATAAATAAATAAAATCTTTAAAAAAAAAAGTAGTTATTATTATGGATATAAGAGAGAGACTAAAAGATGTAAGGACTACTGACTTGATGTTTCAAAGAGAAAAAAGATACAGATACCTAATACAGTTAATTTAAAATGAATTTTAAATGCTGAGCAAAATTAAGAGACAAAAAGGAAATTTGGGATTTTTAGCAAGTCTCCACTAAGAAAATCTTGTTTTATGTATTTTTCATTAAACTACTGCTATTAACAATGACAAAAGTAATCCCAGAATATTCAAGCAAGCTAACATTTATATTAATCACACTCAGAAAGAGAAAACTAGTGTGAATTACTTAGGAAGATGTTCTTTTGATTGGAATAAAGACTGTCAAATGGAGACAAGGTAAATGAAATGTAGTCAGTGACTTTGTTTCTGACCTGGTGTTCAGTAAGTGCTCAGATATTTGAATCCATGAGTGAATTAATGAGTAAATAAAGATCAAGATTGTTAAATTCTGTGCGACAGGCAAAACCCAGGCAGAGAAAAAAACAGGAAGGAATACTGAAAAGATTTTAGTGCAAGAGCAGTATTATTAGCTAACATTTCAAAGTTCTGAGGCAAATCACATTCAAAAATAGAGCCAAAGCAGGGGCGCCTGGATAGCTGGGTGGCTCAGTCAGTTTAGCATCTGGCTCTTGATTATAGCTCAGGTCATGATCTCAGGGTTGTGAGAGTGAGCCCCGAGTTGGGCTCTGTGCTGGGTGTCACGGAGCCTGCTTAAGATCCTTTCTCTCCCTCTGCCCCTCTCCTGCAAAAAAGAAAAAAAAAAAAAAAAAAAAAAGCCAAAGCTAAGTCTAAAACCTTTAATGTATACAAATAACCTAAATGTCCATCAGTGGTTGAGCCGATAAAGAAGTCATGGTATATATAGACAATGGAATATTATTTCAGAATAAAGGGAATCCTGCCATTTGCAACAACCTGAATGGAGTGTGAGGACATTATGCTAAGTGAAATAAGCCAGAGAGAGAACGATAGATACTGCATATATCATGTATACATAGAATCTTTGGACAAAAAAGAAAGAAAGCACCAAACTCACAGTAACAGAGAGTAAAAAAGTGGTTGCAGGGGCTAAGGGATAGGGAGAATAGGGAGAGGCTGGTAAAAGGGTACAAACTTTCAGCTGTAAGATAAGGTCTGAGGAACTCATGGACAGCATTGTGACTACAGTTGATAACACAGTGTTGTATGATTGAGGTTTGGTGGGATGGTGGAACTAGGATGTTCTCAACAAAACAAAACAAAATGAAAAACCCAGAAAAGTATAGATATGTGCGATGAGTGATGTGTTAAATGTATAGGGGAAATCCTTTCACACTATATATGTGTGTCAGGTCATCATGATGCATACTTTATAGGTCTTGAAATTTGTTTTTCTGCTATTCCTCAGTAAACCTAAAATTATAAAAAAATACTGGATATGTAAGCTTTTAATATTGAAACAAGATCCATTTGCAGATAAAAATCGTTTCCTATCTAGGGTGTGAAGAATAAAATTCTGGTTAAGTTAGGCAGGGCTTGGTAACTGGGTAACTTAGGAATACAGACACACATACACACACACAGCCTACATACTTTATTACAAAATTAAATCATTTTACAGCCTAATATTCTATATCTCTTTCTAAGGAATAGCATACAACCCCAAACTTTAGGCCTACACAGCCAAATTTAAGATTTATTTGATGGTAGTAGACCTAACCCTAAGAGAAATAAATAACTTTTACATAACTTAGTTTTATAAAACCAAACCTAAGGCAATTATGTACCAACATCTGGTATAATGACTGCTATATTTTCTTGTCCTCAAAAGCCAACCAATCCTCATAGCTGAACCCACTTAAACATCACTAGATTCTGGGACCAATATGATTCCAAGGCAGCAGAGATTTATAAATTACAGATGTTTCCTGCCTTGCTTATCCCTAACAACTATGACAAAGGAGCACAATTCCAGGAACTGAGCCATGGTCAATTCTGTGTGTGTAGACCATACCACCAAGTAACTCTGTGCCATAGCTATGGTTACCTGGCTTTGCTTCCTGCAGTGGGTTCATAGATCATTTTCTTAACTTCTATTTCTCTGGAAATAGGGGTCTGTTTGCTACCCTAATTTTCTGGAAAGTAGAAGTCTTTGTGCCTCAGATTCTATTACCGGATCTTTTGCTTGCTGCTCAATTTACTTGGTGCCTGTCTACCTAGAATTTTGTGTATTTCATGTAGTGGGACTAACAGTTATCTCTGTGTTAACCTGCCAGGCACCTTAAATTAAATTTCCTAATATTGTCTGCTACTGATATCAGGGTCACAGGTTTTCAACAGGGATGTGTGGAAACAAAAACTGAAACAATAGGTAGGAAAAAGGTGGGAAAAGAGAAGTTATGGATTGAAAACAGAGAGGGAACTGACATAAATACAGGAAAGAATAAGAATAATCAAGATGTGCTGAAAAGCTAATCTCATTAAAAGTTTGAATTTATTTTTATTTTCTAGTTCCCTAATCCTGCTTTCTTGTATATTTGCTATATTACACCAAATGAATAAGTTTTTAATTCCAGATGTGTCATTTTTCAGCTCTAAAATGTACATCAGAATCTTTTAAAATATATTTTTAGATTCTTTTTAATAGATTAAATTCTCTATTGAAATTTTTTATCTATTCATTTCTGTTGTCCACCACTTCCTTGGTTCTCTTGAATAAAAAAACACTGTTATTTTAAAATCTCTTTCTGATAACACCAATATCTGATCAACTGTGGACTCTATTACCTAATTTTCCTTTTGGTACTGTTTCTCAGCATCCCTTATATTTTTAATTGGATTCTAGAAAGTGATTGGTGAAGAAATTATAGAAGCTTTGGATGATATCTTCCCCCAGACAGAAATTAGGTTAAGTTTTCTTTTGGCATACAAATTGAGTAAGAGCAGATACCTCATTCCCTTTAAGTCTTGGTTTAGGCAAGTTTATTTCATATTTGCCCGTATTACTAGGGTATGGCCTTTACTACTAGGGGGTATACTTCTGGAGGTCACCACAAGCCCAAGCAGGGTATTTACCAAGATTTTTCTCCCTTGACAAGGCACAACTCTGATGTATGTCCTCAGCACCACAATAATGCTAAAATCTCTGCCTTGGTCTTTCTCCTCCAACTACAAATTTCTGCTGGGCTTTTTGGAGTCGCATCCTGGGCATGTACACTTTAAGAAATGGCCAATGATGTGAGGGTAATATCTATGCAGATTTCTTGGGACTTTCTCTCAAGTTACCTTCTCTCTGGGATTTTTCCCTTCATTTCCCAATGGTACAATGCATAGTTTGATAGCTATAGACAGAGTAGTCTCTGATACAAACCAGTTTAAGCAGCCTGTTTCAAATATGTGGCCTATGGCTTTAAGAAGAGAAAGAACTGAAGATACAGTGATCAATCTAGGCAGCTGAAGAAGAATGGAAAGTCAATTTGGGGAGCTATCAGTGTACTATTTCATTAAGTTTAGGAAATTCTAAATATTTTTTATTGTTCCCAGCTATCTTATCACATGATTTCTTAATAAC